GCCTGATGCATGTTCACTCATTAAGCTGCAGAATGGGATCCTGTCTGAGCCTACAGATTTCTAAATCCTGTCAAGATTAAAATAGTACTTACAGCCTGTGTAAGATACCTGCAAGTTTTGGTTTTTTTTTAGACCAACTGTTTCAGTGTCTACATTTGTGCAAGACCGTAGTGAGCCTGAAAATGGAAATTAGATGCCAAAATAATAAAGGCATTTTTAAAAAAATCTTACCCTCTGCTATGCAGACTTTTTACTCCTACAAGACAGGAAACTGAGAAGCAGAGAAATGAAGCAGCATCACAAGATACGCACTTTACTGAACATCATTTATGTACTTCAATACTCCTTTGCCAACTACAATTACTTGGGAGATACTCGGCAGGTCTAACAGCTAGATACAGATCTCGGGAATTCTGTGCCAAAAACTATGTCACCATATGCTAAGAAGGTCATAAAATATCTTCTTAGTCAAAAGCAAAGTTTGGTGAAATCAAACCATCATCAGACCAGAATCATTACTTTTATTCTAAGCAGCAGAGCCATAATGAGGGAAAGCCATCAGTACAACATAAATCATCTTTCCTGGAAGAAAATACTCAGAGACTTTATTCTTTCGAGATATTAATCCTCCAGAGCAAGCTTGTTACCAATGCCTGTTGTTCTTCACCCAGACTGGATGCATCCTCTGACTAAAGAGCTCCCGCACCCTCTCTCAGGAACTGCCACACTACGAAAGTAGTCCACTGTGTATCATTAATAACAAGTTATCAGAGAATCCAGGACCACAGCCAGACATGAGTTTACTGTACTGTCATTCTGTAGAGAAGACGAACCCTTAGCTGGGTCAGATCCCTCAGTGTCCTTTGTTCTTTTCTCCTCTGTGCAAAGATCTGTGATAAACCATTTTGTCACAGCAGCTGGGAGGCGATTGTCCTGCCCTAAAGGGCTTATAACCGAGCTTTAACTAAAAGACAAAGGGAGCCAGGCGAGGAGGCACTGGGTAGAAGCACAAAAAACTTAAACATTATATGAAAAGGGTAAAGTGAATTTTATTTTGGTACCAGTTAAATGTTATTAGAAGAGCTCAGCCACACACATATCAGCAGTTGTTAGAGCTGCAGTACAAGCCTCAGAGGTTCAATTTTCTGAGTGGCTACAGCTGTACCACCTTCTAAATCCTTGGGTCCTGATTTATTCATGGCATTAGGAATGCAAAATGCAAGTAGAAGGAAGTAGGCCAACAAGAGAATAGAAAGCAGGGACACAGAGGAACCAGTTTCTTCATTCCAACTGAAAACAGGTTGAAATTATTAACTCTTTCAGAGTAAGCTCCCTTTGAAAGGGCAACATAGCTTGATACATAAAAACACACAGATGAGTCTCTCCCACAAAATAAAAGCATGATTAACAGAAACACAAAGCAAACATGGCTTCAGAAAAAGAATTCAGCTTAACTCTAGCCCGAGGCATTTGCATGTTCAGATGCATAACGCTCAGGCCAACGTATCTGACAGGGGAGGGGTTAATGGCTTTGGTTCTGTGAGCTGTGGACCAGATGTTCAGCTGGTGCAACTCAACACAGATCCATTAGAAATTAGTGGAGTGATGCCTGCATACCCCAGACAGGATTCCGGCCCTGTACTTTGAAATCCTGTCTAATACCCACTCACAGATTTTTCTAGAGGGAAAGGCCTCGCTTTTTGGAAGCATTTAAACAGGCTTCTAGAAAAGCTGCAAAATGTGGTTAAGCTGAAATGACCACAGCCCTGGCCTGCCTGTAATATACAAAACCCCTAAATCAAAAGCTTCCTGAGAAGGGAGGCCAGACAGGAATTGGAGCAAGTCATCAACTTTTACTCGTGGGGAGAAAAGACACAAATCAGCATTCCCTGAGATCAGTTGATACTAGAAATTTGGACCTTGAAACAGCATCGTCCAGAAATTAAAAACACACTAGAGAGCAGACTCAAATGACATAAAAGCATGAACTTTCTTTCCAGTGAAGCATGCTGAATACATAATCCAAAGAGGGAGGTTGCAGGCCTGACCTAAACTTAAATGTTCTGGGGTGCTGGTTGACAACATGAATGCGAGCCTTAAATGAACTTTTCATCCTGCGTTGTTCCTATCAAATAGTACCACAAAACAGTTGTTTCTGCTACATTTCCATAACGTATACGTACAGGCTGCACCTTACAACAGGCAGAAACAGGCACTAGAGGTAAATCAACAGTTTGTCACTTACCAGGAAACAGATGGGTCTTACTGTCTCCATTTTAGTCCTCAGAGCAAATGCTGTGGTCAGCCAAATCTTTGAGCATGCGCTTGTAATAGAAAATGGTCTACAAAATTTACCACGGTGATTAGATGATAGAGTGGCTTGGGGGGGTGGGGGGAGGAGGGGGGAAGAGGTACAGCAGCACACTCGTCCCTAAAAGGACCATTCTTCCATTCAAGTTGAATGTTAGTTAAATCATATTTTTAAAGAAATAAAGAAGAAAAAACGTCCAGATGAGAAAGACGACAAGAACTACCAAGGCATACAAACAGGCTAAAAGTCATCTCAAGTGCCCAGTAATACTAGGCACATCATTGCTGCATGGGAAGGATTTTAAACAGCCATCTTGACCAACAATGCTGACATTAAAAGGAAAGTTATCTACCCTGTTACTTTATTTCTGCACCTCTAAGCGTCCAGCCTATACACTTGAATGACAGAATTGTACACAATTTGTTTAAAGACTTTCGTAACACAGGGTGTAATAAAAGACCGGTGATTCTGCAACAAGAGTCTTCCACAACACGATTCTGTGCTTTCTCAGCCAAACACCAACCTCAAGGGAAAACTGATCTCAGTGCCCAATAACTATACAACATTCAGTATATCCTAAAGGATTCTGCTATAAGCCTTTAAATACATTTATATACATCACATACACACTCAAGAATCTAGGCACCTTTCACAACTGAAATGAAGCCTCTGGCAGCACCTTCCAGTCTGACAGGACTGCCACAGAGCTCTGCTCCTTTGACGTAAACTCCAAACAGCACCCAGGTAACATGAAGTCTGTCTTCCCAGCTAGAACTAAATGCTTCTTTGAGATGTTCTGTATTTGCTCCTTTCCCCACTGAATTAGCCTGTCATACACAGATCTATAACTGAGTCCATGTCTTCACCTCATGTTTTCCTAGGGCTGTCAATCCTCCCAGTCCTATTCCTATACAGAATTCCAGTACAGCAATACGGAAGTACAAGGCTGGTCAACATCTGAAGATAATTGTATGGTGTAAGGACAAAAGCTAAGGATTAAGTTGTCCTTAAGGAATGCAGTACACAGGCTTTCCAGCATTAAGTATTAGCACTTCTAATACCTTTCTGACGATAGCTTCACAGAAAAATTATAGAAACAACCATGGAGCTACAGAGCTCTTCTCCTTGAGTCCTTAGCCGAAACCTTTAAGAAGTCTAACAAACAATAGGCAACACTACAACAGAGATTTCCAACCAGTGGTATTGGCATAATCCTCAGCCAACAAGCTAAGCTGGTCCAAAACAACAGTACCAGCCCTTAAAGGAGATAACTAGCTATATGTTAGGGGCATATCTTGAAACATATCCACTTGAAGGTATTTGTAATTCATGGAGTTTCCTCTCCTGAGAAAATACAATCAGGATTTTTGAAGATCTGTTTCTCTTGATAGAAATTAGCAAGCAGCACTTCTACTAGCTGGAATAACACAGCCAGATGAGAAAGGGCAGTACTTTAGTCTAAGCAGATATCTCTGCAAACCTCTCTCTTTCAAAGTCTTCAGTGAAAGACCTCCTTATTGTCTGGAGAGAATATATACACATATAAATATATATATATACACACACACATATTAACCAGATCATCCATTTGAGCCGAGAAGTATGGTAGTCTACCTAGAGCCAGTCTGATTTTGAGAGGATGAAGAAACCAAACATATTTTCAGTGGCTCTGGAGTCACTCTCAGGACCAATTCCTCTACTGGATCAAAGTACAGATTCACATTGTAAAATTCAGTGTACTCTGACCCTTTCAAGGGTTACAACCTTGTTTTACAGCAGTGAAATAAAGTTCACTCAAATTTTGGAGACCTGAGTTAAACTTCTCCCAACTTCCACTCAGTGTTAAAATGAAATGAAATATATTTTGTAGCAGAGTTCCTTCAAAACGGCATGTTGGAAACTTTTTACAGAATATAAATTATATATATGTACACGTATAATATAGAACACACACAGAGCTAAAAACACAAAAAGGAAAGCTACATTTGCACTTATCAATAGAAAACGGTGAGTTGGTGGCAACATTGTTCAAGTGCTCAAATCGTCAATAAACCATCAACTGAGCATCAAATTTTCCAGCTGTATTAGAAGAACATTATAAGCAATATTAGCAAAAAGTCTCTAGGAATCTTCATAATGAAAATGAAGTTCAGGAAGGTCAGTTCAGTCAGCCTGTTAAAAGCCAGTATTCACGGTACAACAGGGAATTGTGAAGCTCACAGTGCTCCACTCCAGTACATACACGGTATCCCTGAAAGGCTGACTGAATTGTTTCTCATTACCTACTGCTGAGGAAGGCAAAGCATGTCAGCGATCAACAGTATTTATAAATGAAGCAGCACTGCTCATTGCAGTTTTGAGATGGAAAATGTTTGTTTCTCAATCAAAGCAGATACTCCAACAAAGACAAATGAGGATGAAAAATGTGGATGATACATAACATATGAGCTCAGCAGCTTCAGACCAGAGAAGTTCGGTAGAGACAAGAGAAGGTTCACTGCTAGTGAACCAAGCCAGCCTAAGCACTCCTCCCATGTCTCTGCTTTCCTAAAACAGATGTCAGTACAACAATGCAGACAAGGGTAGTTGCTCTGTTTCTTTCCTCTGAAGAAGGAAGAGTTAGTGACACAGTCCATTATATTCTGCTTTCCTGTTCCAGATGATAAAAAGGCTCCAGTGAGTCCCAGCGTCACACTTGTACATTCCCTGCTTTACTGTGAGAGGCCTGGGAAACACGATTGATGCTGCTTTCAATAAAGACCTTCAGGCCCTTCAAACCTTGTGCATAGAGGTATTCCAGATACCAGTTGGACATAGCTTTGTCTCTCTCTCAAGCCAGTCTGAAAAGGTCTGCAAATATTACCTCCCACGGTTTGACAACATCCATCCTAGTCTGTAAATACCCACAGGTATACGGGGTCACATCCTGTTCCCATATGCCCAGACTTTTCACTTATGTATTACACATTTTTAGCTTGAACATGACAAATCATGATCTTATTTAGTACTGAAGATGTTTATAAATCCCAGTTCTAAAAAGAGCAAAGTCTATTGGATTAACAGAGATGATGTCAGGAACCAAATGAACGTGGATATTAAAGCCTTCCTTCCATCACTAATAATGATTCCTCCAGATGATGTTTGAAGTACACTGTGATGCAGGAAAGGAAACAAACTGCCACTGTACTTGCTCAGTGGAGGATCACTGTTCAAAGCTATAACATAGCTACACTTCCATCTCAAATTCAATGTTAAGTTCATTGACAATAGAAATTCTGCTTCAAGTACACCAAAAATGTAACTTTTTCTTGGGCCTGAAGAGAACAATATACAGTCTTGTCCTGATACTGCACTAACTCGTGGAGGAAATATATAAAAATCTCAGACCACTACCCACAGATGGCTAGATATGTAACTTCTCGGATGTTGATGTCCTCATGTTTGGCCCTGTTAAGAGATTGAACCAAAGCCTACAGCTGGAATTTTCCCCTTTCAAGGTTTTTATAGGGCATTTGTGGAATTGGTGAACATTATCACCTCATCCTCTTCTACATAGCAGCTGAAAATTGCCTGTTTTCACTTCACTAAAACAAGAAATCTTACCTTAATTAAACTCAAGTCAAAGGTGGTATCATCTGGCCAAGCCTTAAGGAGAGAGAATAAAAACAGTATCAAGTCAGATAAAAAGTATGTCCAGAGTTACTGGGCCTCTGCTTAGTCCCCTCCTAAATCAGGAATTGCAGGTGTGCAACGAAATTCAGAGATTTTTGACTATGCTTCAGAATGGGCTTCCAGCATCATACTGTGCCCACAAGTAGCAAGGTAATGTGAAGACTCTCTTGCCCTGTGCTACAGCATTACTGGATAGCAACAAAGAACATTTCTAGGTATCTTTAACCATTGTCTCTCTACAGTATAAAAGCTACCCCTTCAAAACATTAGATAGATAATTCCCAACAATGAGAAAGAGCAAGAGGAGAGAATCTACCAACATTTAGATTATTGCTTGTGTTCCCTGAGCGTGCTTGCAGAGCAGTGCCCTCTGGTGCTCAGCACTGAAGCGTTTAATAAAAGATGGCACTACAGCTAAATAATTTTTTCTGTCTTAAGATAGATACATAGCTGCTAAGCAAAACCTCTTTCTTGGTTCTGCAGTAGGAAGAGTGAAAGAATTCTCCACTAGATGGTTTTGGTTCGGGTTTTTTTGTGTTCTTTTTTTGGCTGCAAAGAAGAATCAGTAAATCTCAGATTGGAAAGGATCTAGACAGAAGATATGAAAAACTAATCCTGCTACAAAAGGAGAAAGAGAAGGAAAAGAAGTTGTATATAACAAAAAATAGCCTCCTCTGGTGAAGACAAAACATGGGTTTAATCAGCAATAAGATACAAACTACCTAGATTCAGGACACCAAGCATATAAACAAAGGCACATTTGTGAATTGTTCCTAACAAGCGTTCACTGCTTCAACTTTAACCTCAGGTTTCCCTGCCTTCATTCCAGAAGCCACACCTACGCATGCTTTCAGTTTGCCAGCGTCCCTCACAACAAAATGGCATCTTTGTGCACCCCTTGGATAGCCTGCAAAATCTGACGTCTCAGATCAGTGTGTACATCTTGGAACAATAACAACTCCAGCAAGCTGGTCCCTCCACTATCCAGTAGCTGCATTGAGAACATGATGGCACCCGGAATTCAAGACTACTACTAGCAGAACTCATATCAGACAATACAAGACAGCACCATATTCTCTTACACTTCTGTACTTGAAGTAGCTATTTGTATTTCTTTTTTAATAAGCCATTCACAAAAGCTACTGCAAGAGCCAGAAAGCACTAAAAGCTCCACTGTGCGCACCTGTATACAGTTTAACTACATATTTCTTGACTTTCTGGAGTTTAAATGTTTAGGTCACACTTCATATTTTGTGGGGCAGGATGCACTATTAGGAAGCTTTTACTGAATTAGTTATTTATTTCCTTATTTAGCTATTTTAGTTATGTCCTCAAAATAAGCGCAAATTCTCATCTAAAACTGTTACATTCATGCTTTCATACCATGCAAACAAGGACTATTCAAATTGTGCCACTGATCTGACAAAAACACAGAATGCCATAACTCATTCAAAGCTCAGTTGACTCTACAAGTCAGCCAGTACACCGAGAGACATTTCTCTAGAGAAGCTAGATAGAACTGCTGCCAAAGGCCCAAATGTTGGTCTACACCATTACCTGCTGCAGGAAGAGGACAGCATAGCCCATCATGGCTGGGTGGTAGACAATGTTAAAGCTGGTTCTGAATTCCTGCACTGCGGTTTTCTTTAGCAGTTCATCATCCATACGAAGACCTTGAGGATGAATATCCTTCTGGAATGCCCTGGATGTCCACAGACAACCCACCATAGCTATTATGTACTGGTTGTACTCTTGATATATCTGGCTACTGAACTTGAATTGCAGTGTTTTCTGAGGGACAAGAAAACAAATCAATAAATAGTATCCTCAAAGCAGCTGTGTGCTCCCTCCAGTCCTTAACAGAATGTCATCAGAACACCCCCTCTCCATTCAACCCAACTCCTTGCTAAGGTCTGTTCTAGCACATAGATTTGTCCACAATACCTTTTTACTCAGCTCATTTTCTTTTGCAGCCACCAAGTTGGTTCGATACCTGAAAAAAATAAAGAAAAGAGAAAGGCAGGTGCCTGTAAATTTTTACTGCCTACCAGTGTCAAAAAAAGCTGGAGGAATGTATTAAAAAACCTTATTTCCTCCACGAGAGGTGTAAAAACAGAGACATGGAAAAGAATTCAAAGGACTTGATCACTTGGCATAGACCCACCCTTACTAGGTAGAGTACGGAGACATCTCATAATATTAATCTCTTAAATGATTAAGACATGACCAGTTTGCCTGGGACAGTCACCTTCATAAAGGCAACACACAAGACATACAGCCTTAAAATCAGCAGACAAATGCAGTGTATTTTTAAGAAGGGAGACTTTCATTCAACAAGCAGAGAAGCAGAAGCCACTGGAAGTAATGCAACTTGACAGTTGTTCTATATAATAAGCACTAGCTCCTCTTATACCCCAGACACCATCCTGTCATGTTAATTATCCTGTAGACTCCTTAGAGAAAAAGCCACATGGAGAGCCCTGCGCCAGCTGTCAGCAATCGGCTACTCTTCTTCTCAGATGCAACTACTGGAACTAACAAGGCCAAGAACAGCAGCCGTGTTGGTGGATCCCGCAGAGTGCTAAACAGTGCTGTCTTTGGACCTGCAGGCAGCACAAGGCAGTCCCAAACTCCCACAGAGTTTGGAGGTGGCAGAAGTGCAAGTGCTTCCTACTCGGCACATTACAGAATTTGTAAGGAAAAGCTCAAGACCAGTGGTCAAAGCACAGGAGGGAGAAACTGTATAGTTAACTACTAGTGATTCCAGCTGGCTGACTTAAGTTCTCCTAAAGCAATATGGGAACTCTTTCCTTCACATATCAAAGATATGGAAATAATACTAGGAAAGGGGTCAGAATCCCACTGTTTTGTATAACAGACTGAAAAAAAGAGACTAGGAATTACAGCTGTAAAATCCTGTATCATGAAAGCTGGGCACAACTGGAACTTTCACCTGTGCCTTGCGTGGTAAGAAAAAGTAGATTTCAGATTTTACAGCAAAGTAATTTCATTTCCAAGAGACTGAAAGAGAAGACTAGGAGTCCCTACAGCCCACACCATTTGTAGTACCTGTACATAATGTAGCAGAGCTGATTCAAGCTGACAGAATCCATGCTGAGAAGTGCAGGGTAGAAAACTCCAGCAGGAGGCATTATCAACAAAGGCAGATTGTACCTCAGATACATGTCGCACACCTGCAGGAATGAAGGAAATCCAGGCAGATTATTATTGCCATTAACAAACCCTGAAGCATCTAAGAGCAAAAGACAGCACAACACTGCATTCCAGTCAGCTCCATCAACTTCACCTAGAAGGGAAGGCCAGGGTGAAGCAATTCCATTCATTTCATTCTCAGTATGAGACATATTCATCAGTTCATATCTCAGTCTTTGCTTCAACCATTTAGGTATACCATATGTTTTGACATGGTTACTTGCTGAGTCAAATCTACCCAGATCTCTGTAAAAAAGCAGCAGCCATTATTTTTCTGATCTTTTAGATCATTCTGACATATATAGCTGGGATTGCACTAGACTTGACCTTGTTCCTAGCCTGGTTTCCTGATACCAGCAAGCCAAACAGACCATACACT